CATGGCTCCGTCCTTTCTAGGCAGAGATGCGGGCATCCAATGCATTGGCCGAGCAAGTTTAAAACGTCTCTCCACGCAGTGACAGCGCGGGAGAGTGGCCCGCGAGCGCCCTCTGGCGTCCAAAGTTCACTACTGCGGGAGGCCGCGCCTGACGACCTCCCCTGGGAGCCTGGGAGCCTGGGAGCCTGGGAGCCTGGGAGCCTGGGAGCCTGGGAGCCTGGGAGCAACCCCCCCCCCCTGCTGATGGTTCAGTGCTGCAGCTGGGGCGCGAGGTAGCTGTGCTGTTGCATTGAGCCAGCGAAATGCCCACCTCAAGTTCAAGCAGACGGCTTCCTCTTGCTTCTGTGTTTAAAGTTACTGTGCTTACTACTGTGGTCCTGATAAATGACTTGGGATCTTGTGCAGGGTGGGCAGGCAGTGTACCCCAAATCACACTCAGCCCTATGAGTCTTGTGATGTTTTGTTGTTGCTGTTTTGTTTTGTTTTTTTCTTTTGAGACAGAGTTTCCCTTTGTAATTCAGGCTGGCCCTAAACTATGTATTCTAGTCTGGCTTGGAAGTCACTGCCATCCTTCTGCCTCAGCCTCCTGAGTGCTGGGATTACAGGCATGTGCCACCACACCCGGCAGCCCTATGAGTTTTATTGGGGTCAGAATCACAGCTGCAGCACTTGTCACCTTATCCACGCATAAGTGACAATCCATTGGTGCCAGGCACACTCAAATTTCAGAGGAGCCTTCACCACCTCCACCTGTGGACCGTTCGTCCTGCGGATTCAGCCTCTGTCCCCATGCTGTCCATGCTGACATCACCCCTCCTGCTAGCCCGGGCACCCACCTCTCAGATAGACAGGGTCTGGTGACTCTGTGCAGGGGGTTCACTGCCCGGGACAAGGCCCTGGCCTCTTCCCAGGTCACCGCCTGTGACACTGCTGAAATGGAAGCTGTCCTGTGTGCCTGGTCCCTCAATGCAGGTCCACGTGTTGGAGACTCACCTGCATTACTGCTTTGCGACAACCTGGTTGGAAATGTCTGTGTGTGGTGTATTTTAAGGGTATATGGTGAAATTTAAACCAATTCTCTTTCTTTTCCTTTTCTTTCTTTTTTTTTTTTTTTGGTGTGGGGGTACAGGGGATTGAACTCAGGGAACATGGAGACTGCATATTTATTTTTGAGACAAAGTCCAGCTAACCTGCTGCTATAGTTCAAATCTAAAATGGTTCCATGGCACTATTGTGATGAAAATGTAGAACCTGGGCAAAACTGAGCCCAGTGGGTCCTGAGGGTGTGGCTGCAGACTATACTCAGTCCCTGGCCACCTCCTCTCTTTCTCTTCCCCTCTTCTCTGCATCCTGGGAGCAGCTGTCCCACCGCACATCACTCCCCATGATGGTTCTGCCTTGGAGCCAGCTGACTATGGACTGAACCCTCTGCAGATGTGAGCCATATCAATCTTTCTGCCCCTAAGTTGGTTTTTCTCAGAGTTTCTGTCATTAACAAAAATCTGATGAACACCCATGCCCAGGCTGGCCTCAAACGTGTGGTTCTCCTGTCTCAGCCTCCCAAATAGCTGGGGTTACAGTTGTGCACCACCATGCCTGGCTTAATTTTTGTATTTTTAAATATTAGATTTAAAAAATATTTTGGCTACTAAAAACAGCAGAGTGAGTGGATCTTTTTTTTTCCTCACTGAGTTTATCGGTACATTGTAGGGATACAGTACAGTTACATTCATCATTGGGATCTTGTACCTTTACATGACAGGCCTTGGTTCTCATTTTTTCCTCTTATCCCTACCCTCCCTTCACCCCTTCTCCTCTCCCCCTTTACAAACACTTCATTTCCATTTTTTCATGTTCTCATATTTTTTCTTTTCCCTTATTACCTTTCCCCTACCCTTCCCCACTTTCCCTACACCTTTAGCCCCTTTCTTCCTATTTCACATTGTCCATTATATCATTAGGACCTTATGCACTATTATAGTTTATTCACACTACAGAAACTATTTGGTATTTACACGTGTGACTTATTTATTTCACTTAGGAGTATATCCTCAATATGTATTCATTTTCCTATGAATGAATCTAATTTCTCATTCTTATGGCTGAGTAATATTCCATTATATAGAAAAACCACATCTTCTTTATCCAGTTTCCAACTGATGGGAAAATGGGCTGTTTCCAAGTTTTAGCTATTACAAACTGTGCTGCTATGCCAATTGAAATTCCAACACTATACTTCACAGAGCTAGAAAAAGAATCCAAAAATTCATTTGGAACCATAAGAGACCTAGAATAGCAAAAGCCATCCTAGGCAACAGAGACATGGCAGCGGGTATAACAATTCCCAATTTGAAACTATACTACAAAGCCACTGTGATAAAAACAGCATGGTACTGGCAAAGAAACAGACCTGAGGATCAGTGGAACAGACTGGAAGACACAAAAACAACTCCAGATGTACTCAGCTACCTCATCTTTGACAAAGGAGCTGACCATCCCCACTGGAGGAAAGATAGCCTCTTTAATAAATGGTGTTGGAAAAACTGGATCTCAACCTGCCAAAGATTAAAACTAGACCCTTACCTTTCACCATGCACTAAAGTAAAATCCAAGTGGATTAAAGATCTAAATATTAAAATTGAAACACTGAACTTGCTGGAAGACAAGTTAGGCAGAACTCTGGAAGACATTGGCATAGGAAAAGACTTTATGAATACTGACACAGGAAAAGACTTTATGAACAAATCCTCAGTAGCACGGGAAGTAGCATAAAGAATCAACAACTGGGATCTCATCTTATTAAAAAGCTTCTGCACTGCAAAAGAAACCATCATCAGAACTAAGAGACAACCTACAATGTGGAAAAAAATTTTTACCAGCTTTTCATCAGACAAGGGACTATTATCTAGAACATATAAAGAAGTCAAAATAATCAGCCCCCCCCAAATATAAGGACCCAATTCAAAAATGGGCATCTGAAATGAACAGACATTGCTCAGACAAAGAAGCAAAAGCAGCAACTAAATATGTAAAAAAATGTTCCACATCACTGGTCATTTGAGAGATGCAGATGAAAACAGCACTGAGATCCCACCTCACCCCACAAAGAATGGCTGCTATCAAGAAATCAAACAATAACAAATGTTGGCGGGGATGTGGGGAGAAAGGAACCCTTCTCCACTTTGGTGGGAGTGCAGACTGGTGCACCCACCAGGGAAATCAATATGGAGATATCTCAAAGAGCTGGAACAAGAGGTTCCATTTGACCCAGTCATAGCTCTGCTAGGTATCTTTCCAAAAGAATTTAAAGAATCATTTCACGGAGATATATGCGCACCTATGTTTATAGTGAGTGGATCTTTTTATGTGTTGTTAATTATTTTATTTATTTCCTGGTTTTAAAATTATGATACATTTTGACTTACAAATCTGCACAGAAAACAGAGCCACTCACCATGCAGCAAAGGTGCCAGGTCTGCTTCAGGTCTGCATGCTGAGGTGAGCATACAGGGGAGTCCTAAATAAGCCTTCAATAACTACATGACAGTGATCATAAAATTTATTTATGTCAAAGTCATATTATAAAGCAAAGGTATCTCTGATTAGTTAGATTGAACAATGCGGTACTAAAATGACCAACTCTTCCCCATTGGACTCTGAATTTACACAGAAGTGCTGTTTATCTTTGAGACTTTTCTAGGATGACAAGGAAAGGTAAGTGCCAGACATCATCACAGCGCCTGAAAACCTGCACACAGAGCTTTGTTAACTCGGATGACGCAGGGCGCTCACGAGCACAGGACCCCGGGTTCCTGGCATCCGGGGATGGATCCAAGCGTCCTGCTCCTGTTTGCCTGGGGAATCACAGGCAGCGCGGTGCACTGAAGGGGCTGAGGCAGGGGCTTTCCACAGAGGACCCCGCTTCTGCCTCCTACGGCACACGACCCCTCCTCGGCGTTAGTTATTTTTCTCTCTTTGCGGAGACAAAAATACCTCACACAAAGTTCAAGGGGGAAAAGATTTCTTTGGCTTACAGTTCACAGAGGTCTCAGTCCAAAATCAGCTGGCTCCAAGGCAGGGTGGCAGAGGCACAAGACAGCAAAAGCAACAAGAGCCCTTAAAGGTGTCTCTCCACCCCTTTTACCTTATTCAGAGTACCAGGGTCAGGGCAGTGCCAAGCCATCACTCCCGTGTAGTGGTTTAGTAGTCACACGCCCTCATCCCAGCATCCCACACTCTAGACTCAGCCACTGTGACTGGGAGGCTCTGAGGGGACTCCAGGCCCGAACCGTGACAGCCTCCCAGAGGATCGCAGCGCAGGGCCAAGGTCCAGCTCCTCGGGGGTGAGGGGACAAGGTGTGGTGGTGGTGACACTGCGACCTAGGGAGGGGGCACTCGGCTGGGCCCCAGCACCCACACGGGGGATACGGGCAGATTTGAATACTGTACACTGAGGCCGCCTCTCGCCTGCTGAGACAGAGGCACTGAGAGAGCCGGTGGCACAGTTGCTTGCTGCCCTGCTTGTGAGCAAAGCTCAGCGGTTTATGACAGGGCAGCGGCCAAGGACGGCTCTGCTCAGAGAGAAGGAAGCCGGACCTGCACTGCCTGCACCACGCACAGTGAAGCTAAGGGACGAAACGCTTACACCACACCTGACAGGCAGGCACCAGAGGCCGATGGGAGAGGCCATGTGTGGCCTCAGTGGGGACAGGGGTGGGCAGGTCCCTCAGGAGCCCGTGCCAAGGTGGAGTCACTGGGTGGACCGCGAGAGGCGTCCAAGTCCTCCCCAGGGCCCTCTGGAAAACCTCCCGTAAGCGCCTCTGGCGCCTCTGCCTCCCCATCCTCCCTGCAAGGTACTAAGCCAAGGGGTTGACGCTGCTGTTCACACTGGACAACAGTGCCCGAAGCTCTACATAGTAGGGGATGATAGGGTTTCCAGGCAGGAAGTATTGCACATCGGAGAAGGCAGAAGTCCAGAGGGACACGAGTGTGAGGCCCAGGATGATGTACAACATGCGGGGTGGACGCACGCGGGAGCTGCACTGGATTCTGATCCACGTAACCACGACGCACAGTAGTGTTACAGACAGAAGAATGACAAGAAACAGAGATCACCCTATATAACAGGGGTGACCAAATGAGGGATGTGTTCGAGAAGGAAGCCGACAGATCATTTTCTGCAGCACAGTTAGGGAAATGGCCAAGACCCAGGTGAGAACACACAGGACGGCGGGCCAGTACTTCGGAGAGTGCAGCCGGTACTGGATGGGGAAGAAGACGGGCCGGCCGCGGCTCACGCTGATGAAGGTCAGCAGGCGGAGCCCCACCGTGTAGGACGCGCCGAGGAACGCCTCCACGTATGGAAGATGAAACTTTATGTCACGAAAATACTGAAGTATCTGTTGCGTGAACTCCAAAACCAGACAGGCGAGGAAGATAAAGTCAGCCAGAGCCAGGTGTAAAAGAAAGACAGAGAAGCGGTGCCACCCGATGGAGAAGAGCAGGAGGGACAGGACGAGGCCGTTGGCCCCCAGCCCCAGGAGGGAGATGCCCCAAGAGTGGAGATGATCTTCCCAGCCTGGATGCATGCAGCAGGTCGGAATTCGTGGTGACTTCATCTGTCCCTTTCCAGGGGGTCGGCGTAGAATTAAAATAGCCCATTGTGAGGTCAGCTGGGCCTGGGGACGTCCACGCAGCAAGGACCCCGTGCAGAGAATCATCGCACAAACTCGCCTGGGACGAGCCGGGCACGGCGTCCCCGTGGCCTCCTCTCGCGCCCGTCCAGCCAGCGTCCTCCAGCTCACACGTGTGCAGGGCGCGGCCTTGCCAGCCCTGCGCTGACCCTGACGGCCACCAGCAGAGGGGACACAGACAGCGCAGCCAGGGAGCAAACGGCGGAGCAGGGAAGGCGGTGATGACCGGGACAGGAGCTGAGGAGCGGCCGTCACGCGTTCCTTAGGGAGCCCTCCACGTGGCGCCCGGGTCCTCCCTCTCTCTCGCCCCTCCTCTCGGGTCACCGGGTCTCCGTTCTCGTCCCCGTCCCCTCCCCTCACCACTGTCCCCATGTCCCACACGGCACCGTGCCGCCCTCGGGAACCTGGCTCACCTGGACCCTCTGTCCACCTCACCCCGTGTCCAGGCCACCCCCTGTCCCTGGACCTCCCTGACAGCGTGTGCCAGCGCTGGCGGCCCTGCCCAGGAACGCGTCCTTCCTGGACCACAGCCCCCTCTGAGGGTCCTCAGCCCCATTCCGCCCCAGGAATGGCCCCAAGACCCAGGCCGAGGGGCCCTCTGCTCAGAAGCCCAGGGTGACCTCGCACGGGGGGAGGCGGCTCCCAGGCCGGAAGTGGGCACAGAGCAGTGGACACAGTCACCTGCCCAGCCTCTCTTCCGCTGCCTTCTCCCTCCTCCCACCCTCCCTCCCGCACCTTAGGTGCCAGCACGTGCCCTTGAACGTACCGTGGTGCAGGCTTACACCCCAACTCCCTCCTCCCAGGTCCCTGACCTGCACCCCTCACCCATGTTACAGTGCAGCCCCGCCCCACGGCTCCCCTGGGAACTCCACACTGGGCACTTGCTTCTGATCACTGTGCCGCTCCTTCCTCTCCCACAGCCACTGCGCCTGGGCCAGCAGGGGTCCGTGTCACGTGATCCCGTGAAGACCTCAGCCACTGGGAGCAGGGCCGGTCACAGAGACGTCCCACAGTAGCTGTGGAAGGAAGTGCTCCATGCTGGGGCCATGGATGTGATCTGCACTGCCCAGGGTTTCCACCTCAGCCCAGGACTCGCAGTGAGGAGAGAGGACCCATTCTGGCTTATGTGTCCCATGGGGTGAAGGTGTTGGGAGCCCAAGGGCGGGATAGTGCCCCTTGGTCAGCCTCGGACAGGCCTGGCTGAGTGAGGGGCTGGCAGGGACCTGGAATTCAATACTTTAGCCCGTAGGCCTGGGAAGGGCAAGATGAAACCCAACTACACAAAGTGAAACTGGAAACACCAGGCAGAGGGGCCACGTGGGTATTTCTGGGGACACAGCGGGTGACCAAGAGCGCATGGAAGGAGGCTGGACGTCATGAGCATCAGGGAAAAGCAAATGGGGGCCAGGATGTGAGAGCATGGCACGTTCAGGGGGCAGCTGACGAGAAAGACAGACACTAACAAGTGTCGGTGAGGACCCAGAGGACTCGGGCTCTGGTATTGCTGCTGGCCATGTGGGGCGCACAGCTCTTGTGGAAAACAGACCCCTCCAAGGTTCTGTGTGAGCCATCCTGGGCCCCTCAGTTCTACTCCCACAGGACATGAGGACAGTGTCCACACAGACCCTGGAACATGAGTATCCACATTGCCAGTGGGATGCCCTGCAGACCCTGGGACAGCAAGCAGAGGCAGTTGTGTGTCCTACTAGTCACATAGCGATATTTGTGCTTGGGCTCAAAAATGGAATGAAATTATCCTTGTTCTTTTCTAAAAAAAGAAACTCAAATGCCTTTCTAGTTACCAGGACACACTCCTGACACCCATAACTGCGGGGTTATCTGGCTCTTCAGTTCAGCTTTGGTGATTCCAAGGCAGACACAGCCCAGGGCAGGGTCTGGAACAGAGCACAGCTGTGGGCTCTGGTGAGCACGGAGCAGAGAGCCAGACGGGGCGGGACACAGACCCAGTCTACTACCCAGGCCAGCCAGGGCACCCACGACCCCAGCTCTTCCCAGAAGCCCAGCCACTGAGTGTGTGAGTTCTTGATCTGAACCATAAAAAGTAACCCTCTTTCCTTGGAATAATAATACCTGGAAAATAATCAGCCTGGAAAACTGGAGATCAAAACTCCAGCCCCAGTCAGCCTCTCAGGGACTTGGCCGCACTCACTGCTCTCTTGCTCACTGGCTGCTCTGCAAGGCAGGATGGCAAAGACAGGCTGACTGGGACTGGCACTTCTCACCTGCAGTCATTCGGGCTAGCCAGGCATGGTGGCGCACACCTGTAATCCCAGCACTCGGGAGGCTGAGGCAGGAGGATCGCTGTGAGTTTGAGACCAACCTGTGCTACATAGTGAGTTCCAGGTCAGTCTCAACTACACAGTGAGATCCTGTGTCAAAGAAACAAACAAACAAACAAAAAAAGTCATTCAGGCTGGTTATCATTCAGCTACATCTTATTTTGGGGGAATTGCAGTATAGCCAGTCCCCTGAGGTTATTCTAGAACCCCCCCCCAGCACCCCAATGTCCACACATAAGAAGGAGCCACCTGTGCCTGTCTGCTGGATCCCTGGGAGCCCCTGACTGAGCAAGGGCTCCTGGGAACCACACACAGGTCCTCCTTCTGGGTCCCTGAGAGCTCCCTGGTGCCTTCCCTCAGGAGAAGTGAATGAGAGGAAACAGCGTGTTACACTGATAATGCCAGGAGGGAGGAGGATGCCAGAGGACGTCCAGGCTCCCTCTCTCTGATAAGAGTGGGCAGATGCATGAGTCCTAGAGGGAGGGGCTTTCTTCCCAGAGCTGGCAGTACCCACAGGCAAGCCCATGGCCTCCTCTACATCTCCTGAAGGACCCTGAGGGAGGGCGGAGTGGGTTCAGTTGAAGAAAGGGAACGCAGTTCCATATCTTCTCGTTACCTGAACAGAATAGCAGAGCTGCCCATCTCACACAGTTAGCATCTTCGAAGTGCCCCTGAGGAGCTGTGCATAGCCACCGACCTGAAGCTATTCAGACGGAGAAACACAGCGAATGTCATTCTGCAGACCCAACATGGGGATGCCTAGCTGCTTCAACTCTGAGGCAGAAAACAGCATCTTTGGAGGCCCTCTGGACAGCCTGCCCCACAGGGCAGGGGTGAGGTCATCATGAAGACTCTGGACAGGAGAAAATGACCCCATTCCCAGGGAAGACAGCAGCTCATGCGGAACCTGGGGGTCTGAGCCTGATACAGTTGCCTTGTGGGGAGACCTGGCTGGAAGTGCTGTGTACTCACATTTGTAACTCCTGTAATTCATCATCATCATCATCATCATCATCATCAATCTGTCCTCTCGGAAAGTTTTCAACATTTTTCCTGATTAAATTTTGCTGCAATGCAGTTGGGTTTGTAGCTCACTGGTGGAAAGCTAGACTAGCATGCACAAGGCCTTGGATTCTAATCGCAGTACTGAAAGATAATTTTTAGTAGTATATATTGATTGTAGATATACTAATATGTTGGAAGTACATTAGTGTTTAATGCCGAATACAAAGGAAATGCTTTGGCCCCCTCACCCAGAAACCAACTTTTCCCCTTTGCACACTGGAGACTTTGTGGTATTGAAGGCTAAAAACATAGGGCAACATTTTTCTTTTCTACCTTGAAGCCTTGGAGGCGAGTGCCCACTGCAGCAGGAGGGGCCCAGCATGGCAGGGCAGAGCCAAGCAAAGCGCACAGAGCACAGGACCTTACCTTTTCTTCTGCCTTCCAATCTTGGAGAGACCCCTGTCTTTGAGTCCTTGGTGTCTTGGAGCGACCTCCATCCACCTTTGAAGCCAATGCATCTCCCTGCAGATAGCCCAGGTGCTTTTAGGTGAGGAAGCCCCTGGGTAGAGGGTGATGCTGGTGTGGCTGGAAAGGCTCTCGGGAGAGGACCCCGGAACATGCCGAAAAACACCTCTCACCCCTCGTCACGCAGTTTCCTCCCAAAGAGGGCCTCAAATGGGACTAAGTGCTAGAGGAAGGAGGTTCTCAAGGTGACTGCAGGAGATGCTGAGCACTTTCTGCAATAAGACTCCCTGCTCTAGAAAAGGTGTAGAAGCTCTTGGCCCCAGAGAACCAGTTTTCTGTATGTGGATGCCATGCTTAGCTTGCTAATGGCACAGCTATCCTTTCATCCCCTTCCCTTTTTGAAGGTGCTACTTCCTGCTGCATTCACCATTTTCAATATCAAGTGACCTTGCCTTCTCCCCACATAAACACCTGCCAATTTACTAGAAATTGTGCTGATGGCATCAAATCACTGGGTCAGTGAAGGCTAAGCTCAGGAGGTATCAATAAAAAGAAAGAAAAAGGCAACATATTGAAAGTAGAACTAGATACCATGGGTATTATGCTCTGGTGTAAATATAAAATTTGTCTCTATTTTGCGCATGTGCTAAGACATTGCAGGCAATTGAGAGTAAGAGCTGTGGACCACTTAATCTGGCAAAGGAAATTTCTAAGTTGTGGTATAGGCACTGAGGAAAGCTGCACACAGTGGGTAGATCTAGCCTATGAGAATCAATGTGGGCTCCTTCAGTCAGGGCCATAGGAGCAGGGCTGCACAAGTCATTTAGAGCTCACATCTCACCACAACACTACATGTGCTACAAGTAGCCTTAGGGTTTAATGTGCACCCTGATGAGTTTTGTCTTGCTTCGTCCAATTTCTATCTATTCTCCTATTGCTTCTTTCTGAAAAGGGAATATTGACCCTGTGCCATGGTATGTTGGAAGAGTTTCACTTTCCTTTTGATTTTTACACTGGCTCACAGCTAAGAATTTGCTCTCAGTCTCTGAGTAGACTATAAACTTGGACTTTTCAGCTATGCTGAAATTGTTAGGACTTTGCAACATTAAGAGATGGACTAAATTAAATTTGCATAATTAGATGAACATTTTTGGGGACAGGGATGGAATGTTATGGTTTAGATCTAAAATATCCCCCCAAAGTCCCCTGTGTTAGAGGTGACCCTTGGTCAAAATGGAGGTTGCTCTGGGTGCATGTGAAAGAGTTTGTTCTGGTCCCTGGGTCCACCCTTCTCTTTCTGATGCTGGAAATCCTGCAGAGAACAGCTTCTCTTAGCCATGCTATTTCTACCTAGAAGCCAGGTGATCCTGGACTGAATCCACTGAAACTATGAGCCAAAATATACCTCTCCTCCATTAACTATCAGGTGTTGGGTGTTTTGTTCCAGAGGAGGGAAAGTGACTAACACACCTGGTATGACTCATTTAAAAATACCTGGAGCCATTGTGCCTGGTGGCTTCTCTGCATGTATAGAAAGGTGTAGCACTCAGGACTGGATAGGAGCCTCAGGAATTCTCAAGCAGGAAAAACTATACCCCATCATGCTATCTCTTCCAACACAGGGAGAGCTGTGTGCCAAATTCACATGAATCCACATCCCTTTCCCCTGCAGCAATGCTGTCTTGGACACTTTGGGAATGTGTTCCTTATTTTCTTCTCCTGTTCCAGGCAGCTGCACCTCCACTGCAGTGAACCTTGACTACTGACCTGTTCCTTCTCCAGGATGAGAGGACTGAGTGAGGCACCACTAGAGGGCAGCATGGCTGGTGCTGTGGGTCCCAGGCGGAAGAGGAGAGTCAGCAGGGTGTATGCATAGGTTTCCAGTGAGGTGGCGGCTCTGTGTGACGTGCTTCCCATGTCAGGAGGTCTCAGGGGACAGTCTATCCTCACAATGGGTCATCTTCCTCAGCGGACGGTGGTAAGGATAATGGCATTCATTTTCTCTCCTCAAGTCTGGGCTCCTGCACAGTGGTTCTGAGCTGGGAAGACAAAGAGGTTTCATCAAGAACCCTTCAAGCCATAGGGACTCAGCATGGCCTGGTAAGGGCTAGAGAGTGTCCATGGAGAGAAATTAGAGTCAACTCCAGAATCATGTATATGAAAACTAGAAGACAGGAAGCTCAGAAGTGGAGATGGGAGTAAACATGACACCAGGGGAAACCAACCTACACAACTGTGTGCCACAGGAGTGCTGTGTCCCTTCTCTGGCTTGAGAGTCAAGACAAACAGTGAAGCCATTTACTGGGAGTGGTTATAGAAGGGCAATGATTTGCCACACAGCACAGACTTAATTATTCCTTTGATGTGTTGTTTGCCCAGAGCCTATGATACACCAACCTGTGATAGCACAAGGTCAGAAGGACTTGTGTTGAGAGAACAGGAGTTTTCCTGTTTCATTTGGAAATATTTTCAGCAAACAAGTATTCTGTTCCCAGAGGGGACAGAATGACGAGAGGCTGCCTAGTAGTGCAGATGTAACAGTCTTCAACCACAAGGGTAAATGTTTAGGTCATACACAAGAGGAGGGAACAGATCTGGGGACATTAGGGACTCAGCCCGACAGAAGTACTTGGCCAAAGAGGAGTCTGTGCAGAGTCTGCACTTGACTCACCCATCGATCTACTGATCTTTTATCTATCTACCTAGATCTACCTGGCTTTATCTACCTATATCTACTGATCTGCCTCTACCTATCTGCCTGCCTTTCTGCCTGTGTACCAAGATACCCACCTGTCTGTATCTACTCATCTATATTCTTACATGACTAGGTCTATCTATCCATGTCTGTCATCTATCATCTGTCAGTTCTACAGTATATTTTATCTCTCCCTCTCCCCTTCTCTATCCATTTATATACATATCCATCCATGCTTTAACAACTTAGATGTCTTCCACTACATCTCTACCTACCCATCTCTCTGTCCATCCCATTGTCTCTCCATGTCCATCCATGTCTCAGAACTGGGTATCTCACTGCACATCTGCCTTCTCTGGCACAGCTGTCCCACCCTTCCTGCATCTCCAGGCTCACTTTCCACAGTTACTCAAGATCAGCTGGAATATAAAAATATTTAAAGGAAAATTCCAGAAAGAAAAGTTTTAAATTGACTTTTGTTACAGTAAATAGTATTATAATTATCCTTGTATTCACTGTTATTGTAAATCTCTTGTTGTGCCTGATTTATAAAGTAAGCTTTATCACTGGCCTATGTAAATAGCTTTTGGTATTGTCCAGAGTTCCAGGCATCCCTGGGAAACTACACATGTGCACTGAAGACACTGGGACAACCATAGACACATGAGTATGTGACTTATTTTTCACACCTGAATGAATCACCTATGTAGCAATGATAAAGTACACTCATATGTCTGTGTATTTCATACATGTATGTGAGTGTGTGTGTCCTGTTTGTTCTTTAAGAAAGAACAAAACCAGAGTTGTGCCACCCCTCAGTGAGGTCAACATCCTGGTTTTCTGGGGAAGGGAGATGCTGGTTAGGATGTGTCCTCGCATGTCAAGTGTCAAAGTCCTGGGTCTCCCAGCTCTTCCACATTCTGCTCTGTACCTAGATGCAAGAAGACACTCAAGTAGAAGCCACCACTGCATGCTTGGGGTTATGGTAACTAAAATTATAAAATCCTATATATGGGGGGCTTACTACTGGTGTTTCCACCTTAGCAAATCAAAGCTTCTGCAAAGAGATTAAATAGCAATAGAGAATTTGAGCTTTCAGGGGTAAGCTGTGCCATCTGGCAGCAGACAATACTACAAACACTCAAAGGAGCAGCTAGATCCTTGCAATATCAGATTTTAAAGGCAACAAAGGAGTGGGAAAAGCAATGAAAGTAGAGACTAAATTTCAAGGGAAGAGAGCAGTTCTTTGAAATTAACACCTGTGTTTTCTTCCAGGGGCACCTGGATATTCTGGGTAAGGAAGAAGGAGCAGAGCCTTTCCCAGGAAGCAGAGAGGGCTTGGGAGGCCTGGGAGGTGGACACAGCCTGTGGCAGCAAGAGAAGCCTCAAGTAATTTTCTCAATGGAGCACCAATGAGTTCAGGGCCTGTGGTATGTGGGGAGGTTGAGGACATCCTATAGGAAGAGGACAGAGTCCTGGGAGCTCCTGAGTGGAAAACAAAGACCACCTGGGTGAGGGAGCTATCTTCCAGCACACAGCAGTTCAGCCTAGCAGAAAATTTGCCAACAAGGATGCTATATGGGTGGGAACTAGAAGTCAGGGTAAAAACGTTGAAGGTCAGAGCTCAATGTCCCTCAGACCTCATGAAGATACCAGCCTCAGTCAAAATCTGGGATGGGCCAGCACCACCCATGTTGTGCTGGCCAGCTATTCTCAGACCACACTGTGTGGGTTACACAGTATCTGAATCTGCACTGCAGAGGTGCTGGGGGGGTCCATAAAGGCCATCATTATGACCTCCAGAAGATAGAGCAGAAGTGAACAGTAGAGAGAGGGCCTCTCTGAGGCTCCTCAATGAAAATTGAAGCCCACTG